AAAGATAAAATATTTTAAAGTATTGATAATACTTACCAACTATTTAATGTAATCATCAGTTGCTTGACTTTCCATACTAACTAATAAGAAACTATACAAGAAAAAATTGAAAAAAACACAATTAATAAACATAAATAAACTCTAAATTGTTCAACTAATAAGATTTAATAAGAAAAAAATTATTAATTTGTTTAGAAAAAATAAAAGAAATTGATTTATCCAATATAAAAAAAAATTCGGTTCTTATTCGGTTTTTGGGTTCTGGGTCTAGAACCGAGAACTGTACCAAACTATTCGGTTTTCGATTCGGATACCCATTCGGATATTTCATTTAAGAAAAATCGCTCGGTTCGATTCGGTTCGGTTCGGTTCGATTCGAACATTTTGCCCAACCCTACTCTTTGGAGTCTAGTTTCCCGACATTGATCATGATGTCACCGAGCATGCTGGAATGCAGAAATCTACTTCTCCTCTTGGCAGTCGGGTAATAATGTTTCATACTCTGTGTGTTGCTCATGCATTGTGGTGGAAGTTCTTCAGGATCCTTCCGGTACATGTGCCAAACTTCTTCTTAGAGACAGAGCAAACTGTCTATTTTGTCTTTTTCCTTCTCCTTTTCGCATTTTCTCCACATCCTTTTACCCTCCATTCAAAGCACCACATCTTTTGAACTTTATCAAAAACTCGTCCTGAAATCTTGATCTATCCTATAACATAAAAAACAGAATGAAATCAATAATAGCTTGAACTAACAACTAATAATCGTACAAGATTAACGATACTGTCAAGTGTAAAAGTTACACTTTATCCACGTGCACAATTAATTGGTGACGACAAGATTTGACCAAAGCACTTTTGTTTACTCTATATTAATGTTTAAACTATTTGATTTAAAAACTTAAAAGTAGAATCAAATGTATATTATCATTTTAAATTGTCGTTTCGTGACAAATGTAGATGGAGTTTAGCCTTTGAAAAATGATTTTTGGAATAATGATTTTTTAGATAACGCGTGGTTGAAAAGTAAGAAAAAATTTTGTGTTTACATGTAATATTTTATTTTATGAATGTGTAGTTAAAAATGAATCGAAAAAAAAAAGAGTTTTGAAATATAATTTGATTAGGGATTGTCATTTTCCTGGAATCTCCTTAATTTGACACATGCACATCAATCTGAGATTCTAAACAAAAGGGCAAAATATGAAAGGGACATGAGAGTGAGTATGGAAGGAGCCATCAAACATCATTATAATTATGCTATCCCACATTCTGTTAATCATCTATACAAATACATTTTCACATCACATATACGACAAAAACATTCTCATACGAGACAGATATCTGATCCTAGGTTGTCTTCATTTTCCTTAGATACTACTACAGGGAAAAAAAAAGAAAAAAGAAAAAAAGAAGATAAATCTAAAATCTTAACAGAAAATAGGGTAAAATTCTCTCTTTCTTGGTTCCTCCCATTGAAAGCCAAGTTTATCTGACAAACGCACACAACCAGTGTGAATGTGAAGAAATGTTCCACATGGAAAAGAAATGAGTGTTCCTTAGAGCTGCAGCAAAATCCGTTATCTCCTTCCACTTTCTTGAATACAAAAGTAATGTCTTGTGTAATGCACTGCATAACTGCTTTTTACGTGTATGCTTTGTCTGGATTTTGAGACCTCGGCTTTTGAGATTAAATGTGTTTGATCTGCTTGGATGCATTGTGGGGGATTTTTTTAGCATTATAAAGGGTTTCGCATTGCTGATTGTGTTTGGATCTTGCTGAAAAAATGGCCCTTTTTCGCAAAATTTTCTACCGTAAGCCGCCTGATGGGCTTTTGGAGATCTCAGACAGAGTATTTGGTATGTTCCTCTTGTTTATTTTGTAAATTTTGATTCTTCATTTGTTGGAAATTATTGGGTTCTCTTGAAAATACATTTTATTGTGTTTTATACGTATCTATATATTTACAGTAGCTTGCAATCTTATGACAAGGGCAAAAACATTAATGTATGACATTATGATGCTATTTGTGAGTATAATGGGTGGTGTGATTAGCGGTAACTATGTGGTACATTTGTATCCAGCTTAAATCATTTAATGTATGAAGATAATTTTGATATTTTGTAATTTTACTGATGTTCATTATATGTGGTATGACTTGATTGTGCGCAGATATGTAATAGGTATAATTTCATCCGTGTCTATAAAAATTGTAATCTAACTTACTTAATTGAAGTCAGAACACTCCGCTTCTGCATTCCCTTATTCTGGGATCCTGGATAGCGAGTATTCATGCGAATTCTGGTGTATTTGTCTGCTCATGAATGAATCTGCAGTTGGTTTGCAATAAGTTTGATAAAGCACATCTTAGTGGTCGTCTTTGCTTTCAAGATAAAATAATTAAAGGAAAGGAAACCAAATGCGTCCACTGAGTCCTCACTAATGCTTTCTAGATGATAAATCATTTAAATGTGCTAAAATGGTACTTCAAAAATGACTTCTGGTGGTTTTGTAGTCTTCGATTGCTGCTTTACCACTGATGTGTTGGAGGATGATGACTATAATGTGTATATTGGAGGCATAGTGGGTCAACTCCATGAGTGCTTCCCTGATGCTTCATACATGGTGTTTAACTTCGGAAAGGGAGGTGAACAACAAAGCCAGATTTCCGATATACTATCCCAGTTTGACATGACTGTGATGGACTATCCTCGTCAGTATGAAAATTGCCCGTTACTCCCCATGGAAATGATCCACCACTTTTTGAGATCGAGCGAAAATTGGCTTTCACTCGGGAAAATGAACGTGCTCTTGATGCATTGTGACAATGGTGGGTTGCCAATTCTGGTTTTCATGCTGGCTGCCCTCTTGATTTATCGGAAGCAATACACCGGGGAAAAGAAAACTTTAGACATGATATACAAGCAAGCACCATTTCAACTTTTGCAATTGTTGTCACCTCTAAATCCATTGCCTTCACAACTGAGGTATTTACAATATGTCTCAAGAAGGAATGTGGGCTCACAATGGCCTCCGCTGGATAGGGCATTGACATTGGATTGCATTATCCTTAGACTCATTCCTAATATGGATGGAGAGGGGGGTTGCCGTCCGATATTTAGGATATATGGACAGGATCCTTTTATGGCTGCTGATCGGACTACCAAGGTGCTTTTCTCTACGCCCAAACAGAGTGGAGCTGTGCGGCATTTCAAGCAGGTGGTTCTTAATTAAGGCATTTTTTTTCGTATGCTTCTCTTTTCCTGAAATACGTTTCTGGCTCCTGCTTTACAGTTGAAAATATATAGTTTAGACTCTATGGGCATACATAGAATAATGCTTCTCTTTTGAGCTTTTGCAAATGATTTTCATGAAATGTTCTTCAGTGACAATTTATTGTTCTCTTTTTGGGGTTTCGAGTAGCTAAGAGACTCTAATGCCATTAGTTGATGCAACTTATTAATTTTCCTTCTACCATGTAACTAGAGACTGTACTTTTAATGCCTGTTTGGAGTTTGAACTGGTTCTGCAGATTGCGTGAATTATGATTGAGAATCTGGCAATAGTTCTCCATCACATAGCAATCTTTGAGGGACAGTTCACCTGATTGGATAATTAAAATAATGACATAATTAGATGTTTCTGACTAGTTGCTTATTGACGTCTACATGTTATTATAGGAAAGTTCCATGATAAAAGAAGGATAATTTCATAGAAGCTCTCAATTCTTACCTAAAAATATTATAGTTGGAGTTGAGATAATTTGGATGAATAAAACACATGATTATGTAATAGTGCCATTTGTGAAATTCCAAATGAATTTGCTCGAGAAAGACTGTCCAATATGGGTTTAGTTGGTCGTTGGTAGATGAAATTGGGAGTTTTTTACTCCAACCACATCTTTGTCTAGATTTGAGTATATAACCTAGGAATTTTACAAGATATCCTGAAAGAAGTTTTTGAACTTTGAAAATTTTCACATAAGCCTGTCAAACGTTGGTGATGTGTAGAACTAAGACGAATTGTATTATCAACTCAGCCTTGAAACATAAAATTGCATCAGTTAAAATTTTCAATGCTAACTTTCATTTATAATCTAAACTATCAAGAAAAAATTTGCAATTTGTTTGAAAATGTACGTTTCTAGAAAACATGATGATGGCAACTTATTTCAACTCTCTTTGATCTTCTTTGCTGAACAAAGGATTTTTGCCCTTTTCTTCTATCCTTGTTAACATCTTCACCAATTTATTACAGGCAAACTGTGAACTTGTTAAAATTGATATCAATTGCCATGTACAAGGTGATGTTGTGCTTGAGTGTATTACATTGGATGGTTATCTAGATCATGAAGAAATGATGTTTCGGGTAATGTTCAACACGGCATTTATCCCATCAAATATATTGATGCTTAACCGTGATGAAATTGATATCCTATGGGACATCAAGGATCGATTTCCAAAGGACTTCACTGCAGAGGTAAATGTCTTTTCCTTCTTTGTTTGAAATATATTATGCTAAAGCATGCAATTATTTGATTTCTGAATTGTCATCTTTTGGGTGGTTGAAGTTTCTTTTCTCAGATATGGATTCCTCTTCTTCATTGGCCGGGCTTGATTTAGCCAGTGTTGAAGACAAGGAAGGCCTCCCTATTGAAGCTTTTGCGAAAATTCAAGAGATTTTTAACAGTGTGGATTGGCTGGAACCAAAAACAGAAGCTGCACTAAATATGCTTGAAACCGAAATTCTCCAAGAAAAATTGGAGATTGTTCCTCTGCCCATTGCTAGAAAAGAAAACTTGGAGAATGGATTCACACCAAGTGAGAAAAATGAACTACTGGAGAGTGCACTTCTCCGGGCTGCTATAGAAAAAAAGCTGAAGTGTGGTTTTATTCAAAGAATTAATGAAGAGAAATTGGAGATTGCCTCTCCCCAGAGTGTGCAAAAGGAAATTGTTAGTGTTTCTTCTAATGGTGTTAAATATGTTGGGTTGCAGGAAATGAGTCATGCCATAGATGAAGAGACTAAAAAATCAAAAGAATTTGAAAATGACATTAAAAGTTCTGTGCATGCAATGCCAAGTGAAACACCTTTGGCATCTTCTAAATCATCTCTGGATTTGAACTTGATTACAAAGAAGATTGAGTCCCAAGAAGTACAGGTTTCTGTTCAAAGGCGTCGTGAATCCAACATCATTTCTCCACAAATTTCTCGAAGTTCAAAATCTAATCCAGCTACGTATTCTAGTTCCTTGCAAGGTTCACCTGTAGCACTTTCCAGATTTCACAGTGCACCCTCAATACTTGGGATTACAGAACTACTGCACGATCAAGTCACCCATTCGGTTACTCCACTAGTTTCTATTTCAGCATCTGTTCCAAGTATATTGAAGCCAGCACAACTCAATAGTTCCTCGGTGCCTCTGCCATGCACACCACTTCCTTCAGGGCAGCTTTCTTTTAATTCTGAAATGGTAACAAAAGCATCCCTTCCTCCTCCTCCTCCTCTACCACCATCACTAACTCAATCGATGCTGTCAACACAATCAACACCAGGACCGCTGCAGCCACCAACATCATCTCAACCACAGCTAAAGTCACCACCACTACCGCTACAATCTGCTTGTCACTTATCTTCTTCACAACTGTCTCAAACTTTCTCTTGCCAAGTGCCTCCATCGTCATCATTGCAGCCATCACCACTGGTGCCGCCAGCACCATGGTCACTGCTGCAATCAACACAACCACAGTCACTGCCTCCACCGCCGCCGCCACTAAAGTCTTCTTGTCACTTATCCCCTTCAGATCCATCTAATACATTTACCGGAGACACTAAACTATCAGGGCAGACTGAACAACAGTTGCATCTCGATCTTCATCTGCCACCTCCTCTATTTTCTGCCTCCATCTCATCTTTGTCTTCCAAATTAAATCCTGTTTCTATACCCTTTCCACCTCCTCTGCCTCCCTTCTCGGGAACAGCTTTGCCTTCCTCTCTTAGGAACCTGCTTCCAGCTCCTTCCCTTCCCTCCCCTGCTCCACATCACGTGGGAAAAGTTGGTTCTCCCTCTTTTAGGAACCAACCATCAGCTCCTTCCCCTCCTCTACCTCCCTCTCTTCAGAATACACCTCCTCCTCCGCCACCTCCTCCACCCCCTTCCTTCTCAGCAGCAGATACTCTTCACTCTCTTCAGAACATATCATCAGCTCCTTCCCTTCCTCCACCGTTCTCAGTAACAGCTGCATCTCCCTCTATTAAGAACCAATTATCAGCTCCTTCACCCCCTTTCTTAGGAACAGTTGAACGCCCCTTGCCTAGGAAACAGTCAACAGCTCCTTTGCCTCCTCCCCCTCCCCCTCCTCCACTTCGTTTCTCAGGGACAGATGGATCTCTCTCTCAAAGGAAACCATCATCAGGTCCTATTCCTCCCCTCTCTCCACCTTTTCTCTCCCAAACAAATGTACCTCCCACTCTTAGGAACACGTCATTAGCGCCCCCCCATCCACCACCACCACCACCACCACCACCTCCATCTTCATCAAGTGGGTCAACTGTACAGAACTCATCCACTTGTTACCTTCCTCCACCACATTCATTATCTAGGACTACTTTTTCAACTACCTCTCAAGATTCGTTCCTGCTCCGAGCAAAAGAGTCTGCATTACCTGCTACCCCACCTCCACCTTCTCCAACTCTATGTTCAGAAACAACTGTACTTTCCACCATTAGATCTTCAGCAGCACCACCAGCACCTCCTCCACCTCCATGTCCAGGACCAACCACAGTTTCCACCATTAGATCTTCAACAGCACCACAAGCACCTCGTCCTCCTAGTTCCATTCAGAAGGAAGCCATCGCGAGAAATTGTCAAAATGTTCCGCCTGTTCCTCCTCCGCCAGCTCCACTTTCCAATGGCTTATCAATTGCTGGCAGTGCTTCTTCACAGTCTAATTCTGCTACCAACAACAAAAGCATACCTGCACCTCCATTTTGTACGAAGGGAAGGTTGCCAATGCGTGCCAGTACAAAAATTCAAGGTCAAGGAAGAAAGGCATCCCTCAAGCCATATCACTGGTTGAAGTTAACAAGGGCCATCCAGGGGAGTCTATGGGCTGATGCTCAAAAACCAGAGGAGGCTTCAAAGTATGTCATTAAATATAACTATACTATATCTTTATTGATTCATCTCCATGAATTACTTTTATGCGAGCATGAAAATGTGTAATGATGATATCTTCTCTTATGTTATCCATGTTAGAGCTCCTGAGTTGGATATGTCTGAACTTGAGAGTCTTTTCTCGGCCTGTGCTCCAAATTCAAGTCATGGAGGTGCCAGAGGAAAAACAAATCGGCTTACCTCCGGACTCAAATCTGATAAAGTGCATCTGGTAAAATTGATGTTATTTTTAGAAAGACCAAGTGCATTGTCACTTGAGCCTATCTTGTTTCTTTGCATAAGAGTATTTTTTGTCATTAGTCCCCATCATAACTTAGCCAAGTGCATTGCCTAGAGTGGGCTTTCTTTTCTTTCCTTTTTCTTTTTAATTGATAAACACTTTTAAGGTTGGAATCTTGGTGCCTGGCTACAGTGTCAGTGGGTTAAACTGCTCCAGTTGGTCTAAGATATTCTGATTTCCTGCGTTTTTTTGTACATCTCAGTTTGAATAATAGTGGGTGCAAGTTAACTAAGTATTATCACTAAGTCAGTCATTGTTTCTCTCAGATATCGAGGGAGGTTTTACTGCTTCTGTGATACGGTTTCATATGCTATTGATGTAAATATGCAGTCTGACTAATGACCTGTAGGAATTTAACTAGGTTAGTAGATATATATATATATTTTTTTCTGGTAAAATATCCTAGCTTGAAAATCCAAGCCGTAGGATATGAATTTATTAATGAAACAACAAATACAAAGAGAAGAGGGGGACAAACAACCTTACCTCCATGAATACAACAATGATTCTAATCAAGCAACTAATGAACTAATCATACAGCCACTCTAAAAACATAAATTCTGATCAAACTATACTAATCTAATGTTCTCCATGCCAATTCTATCAAGCCTCACAATGCCTTTAATTCTTCCCCGAAACTCATTTGCTTCAATTAAGTTGAATTTCCTGTCTTCATAACCCTTGGATGCAAACCAGTCGGCAGCCTGGTTTCCCTCCCTCCAAATGTGAGTAATTTTGGTCTCCATCTTCTCCAGCAGCCACCTAATGGATTGCAAAATGTATTGAACATCCCATGGACCAGTGTTTTGCCTAATCAATGAAACAGCCACCTCAGAATCAGTCTCAACCCATACTTTCCTGTACCCCTGTGACCAACACAGCTTCAGCCCTGTTTCCATGGCTCTGAGTTCGGCCTCCAATATGGTTCCTTCTCCATAATAGTCATAGAATCCCCAAATTGGATTTCCCAAGTTATTCCTCAATAACCCCCCGCCTGCAGTTTGGGAGTTGTCCTTCCTAGTCCCATCTGTATTCAGTTTAAACCAACCTAACTTAGGTTTAATCCACTTAACTGCTGTGGGTTTCTTCCCCCTGATCCTCCCAGTCTGCTGAATTCTGCCTGCTCTAGTAAGTGCATTAATCAGGATATAAACTTGCTTGATAATCCTGTCTGCCCTTATACTACATTGTTTGTGCTTCGCATTGTTCCTGGCCATCCACAGAAACCAGATGACAACCAGTGGAATCGCATTTCTAATCTCACCTGGCTTAGCTTTCTTCTGTAAGAACCAATGCATAAGTAAAGATCTGGGGTGATCACCTCTGAAATCTTGCACCTTCATAACTCTGGAGAAGTGTGACCATACCTCCTTAGCAATTCGACCCTCCGAGAAGACATGATTAATGTTTTCAGAGTTACTACAACACTGACATTTGGAGGCTAAATGTATAGCAAATTTTTTCTGTATAATATCATCCACAGGAAGCCAATTATGCCAGAGCCTCCAAACTAAAAAACTGATTTTTTGAGGAATGTTTTTATCCCAAATATGTTTGAAGGCCAGTTGAGTGGATTTGCCTTGCCTGAAAACGTTAATACAGGATGAGATATGATTAGTAGATATGTATAGTGTGCTGTTTCACAGAGTCCAGTGAAGTTAACAGGGCCAACATGTCAATAATTAAAACTAGTTACAATTTTTCTCAAAAATTAGTTTTTACCACGTGGATTGTAAAGAGGCACGTTGCACTTCTTCTTTTTTTATTAAATTGTTTCGGGTATGTGAGGGTGACAAACTTTTTCCAGGTTTATGCACTAAATAGTTTTATGTAATCTAAAGCAGCCATACACACGTAGTTATTTGTTGCTTAGATGGGAATGGGAACCTTTGGAACTTTTTTGTGTTTATAATAAGACCTAATATTTGTATTAATCTCTTTATATTGTCCATTACTTTATAAATCATTCTCAATAATCCACTGCGCTGAATTCCTATGATTGGAAAAGCCTTGTGTTTATGTTTTTCTCTACATGATAATGTTTTTTGTACATTATGAAACCTCATATGTTCTTAATTCATTCACAATAAAAACATATATGCTGCAGTTATAAATATTTATATACCCATTATTTGCAGATTGAACTAAGAAGGGCATACAATTGTGAAATCATGCTGACAAAAGTTAAAGTTCCTATGTCAGATTTGACGGTAGGCTAAACGTAATTTGCTGCTTTTATGTGTTTTTGGTTTTTCCAAAAATATTGCACTTTGCTCCTTGATTGCACTTTCAATTAAATTCATGACATTACTGTCATGGTTGTTGTGATTGTTGTTTAGTGTTTACAAATATTGGGTAAACATTTCCTATTAAGGATCTCAATTTCTTTTAGATATTGTTTATGGATAATAGCACAGCTGCACAACTTTTGTTTGAAATGTCAGAATGGATGTACAGAGCCTGAGTAGATGTTTTGTGCTAGAAAAGAAAGTTATTGTAATAATAATACAAATAATACTTGAAGTACAAACTTATTCATGTGTAGTGACTAGCCAAAAAATATCAGAGGAATTACTAAGCTATGTTAAAATGGAGAAACAACTAAATAAAAGGAAATTTTAATATGAATATGTACAATGTAGTATGCAGTCTTCATCAGATAGGATAGTACTAACAACAATAGATACTAATTCTGATTAGGGTCTATAATTTGAACTAAAAGCGTGTTGCAGGGGATTGGAAGGGTGGGTTTAATAATGAAAATATATTTGACACGAAACTTTAGAGAAACGTATAAAGTTTTAAAGTGTATAAAATTCAAGGGGCTAACTTAATGTTCTTTGAACATGTGAAATGAATCTAAAGGAGTTAAATTTTAGTTTAGAAGTCCTGAGGGTCATCTCTCCTTAGCCTAATATGGCTTCACCATTGATTCTTTTCTTGCAGTTGGAAACCTTGTGCTTCTAGGGCTAACTATACATATTACAATGGGATTAACATTTTTGGGATTTTTAATTGTACAGTTTTACTATATTGTTTGATGACATTAACTAGTGGTCTTGCTAAAAAAATGATTCGAGCAAGAAAGTCTGAAATTTTATATTTAGATGTTATTGATGCATTGTCTGAATTTTCTCCTGAGTGATTTCTACCTGATTATGTAGACTACTGTTATCTCATTCTCGAGATGCATGCTCATGCATAGTACCAGTCACAGCAATGTTAATATATGTGTGCAGCATTTCAGATTTTTGGGTACCTAAGATTTTAGTTTAGAAATACTCCTACAATTGTTTTTGTTTATGCATATGGAAGTGGATTATTCTTCACATATCAGTTGTATTCCTTGCTCTGCTCATCTACTATGATATAGCAAACTAAAGTTACTTTACAGTGTTCTCTTAGATTGCTACATTGAATTTTGTCGACAGAATTCAATCCTTACTATGGATGACTCAGCATTGGACATCGATCAGGTTGATAATCTTATAAAATTTTGTCCAACGAAAGAAGAAATGGAACTTCTCAAGGTGTACCTTTATTTCGTAGTCTTTGTCATTTTTGTACCAGTACTCTTTATCCTATTAACTTCTATCACATTGGGAACTGAAGTGCAATAAACATGTGTTGCCTTATTTATTTATAATTTGATTGCTGCATATTCACATGTTAATTTCTCACTCCCCCTGGAATAATATTTCATTTTCCAGAACTACAATTTGGACAAGGAGAACCTTGGAAAATGTGAACAGGTGGGTGGGATTCTTCTCTTACTTTTACCTTTCCCATGATTTCATGAATATGTGAACTGGCAGTATCCCAATTAGAGGAAAGACATCATCTTACAGCCTTATAACATGTTTTATTTCCACATGTTTCAGTTTTTCTTGGAGTTAATGAAAGTCCCAAGGGTAGAGTCCAAGCTAAGAGTTTTCTCATTTAAAATTCAATTTTGTTCCCAGGTAGAAAGAAATTTAACTTTATGATATACTATATTTTCCTCTTTTCTTTATTCTTATCACTTAATTTTTCCAGTTTATAATTTATCAATCAAACTATTCTGTTTTCTTTTTCATGGACCGATATTTTTTGCATTTAATTCTCATCACCAGGTTTCTGAGTTGAGAAATAGTTTAAATATCGTGAATTCTGCATCTGAAGAGGCAAGAAACTATGCTCTTTTCTTTCCTCTTGCTTCTATGATAAAGGTATTTCCCTAAAGGCAGTTTTTACCAGGTCAGGAATTCTATCAAGCTGAAAAGAATCATGCAAACGATTCTTTCACTGGGTAATGCTTTGAATCATGGAACGGCGAGGGGTGAGCAGAATCGAAAACTTTCATTTACTTATGCATCGACAACAATTCATGTGATCTGACAGTACTGTGTCAGTTTTATTGATGATAAATCTGCCATTTGATAGTTGAGAAATGGGTATGCCATTCAAAGATTCAGTAGCACTTTTATGCTAAAAAATAATTCTTTTAGTTTTACTGCACAAACACTTATTAGCGTAATAGAATGCCTATAATTGATTGTACTTATGAAAGTAGTAGACTTGACAGACAAGAGAGGCATTCTGCACATGCTTGTAATCTTTTAACTTAGTGGTAGAAACTCAGTTTTAGTAGTACATGATCTAAAATTATGTTAGATTTTCCATGTATTGGGCAGGTGTTGGTAGTAGGTCTATAATATCCTGTTGAGAGTTTATGAATCTCAGTTTCAGTAGAAACTAAAGAAAATATAAAACAGTAAGTGGAGTAGGAAAAGTGGCTTTAAAAACTCTGACTAATCAAACTGAGTTGCCCGGCACCACCGTTTATACTGGAGTACTTATGTGGATTTTAAGTCCTTTTCCCTTTGGGTGGAACATGCTTCCTCCTTTGATAGAGCATATTCTAGCACGTGGCTGGCTAAATGTGAAATATCTTCACGTTTACAATGTCCCTATCCATTCTGTATAGATATTTTGGTGCCTGCTATCTCATTTTGTAAAACTACCTTTAGTCGATTTGAACTGGTCTTTAAATAGTGGGTCTTTAGGTTTCGGAGTTGGTTTTGAGAGTATTTCACTATTTTGTGATGTACTAAATGTTGAATCCTGTATGATATTTGTCCAAGGACATACTTTTGATCAGACAAACTGTTTGTTTGGCCAGTGGCTCAACTATAAGTCTATAACTGGTCGGGCCTTACGCCAGTTCCAATTCATAACTGAGTTCTTATGCATCATCCAGTCACAGGTGGTTGTTGAGCTCCTTGGCCGGGGGGTTGCTATACTGCTTGAGTTGTGGTAGATTAGCTCATACTTAGTGCGACCCGAGTTCCAGGATAGCCTGATGAGCTACTGGCTTAGCTGATCAGCTCATTGGTTTGATTTTGTCCATTCCAATTATATTAGTGCTAACCCTACGTGATCATTTAGAGTCAGTCAACTTCATATTTATGAAGTTTAAATCCGAAACTTTCATGTTAGGATGAGAGAATTCCACTCTCCAAATTTCTATGGATGTTCTGTTGTTCTGATTGCAGTGCTTGTCTAACTCATACAATTATTTCTTGAAAATGCTTGAATTCCATATTACGTTCCTTGCTAAATTGGATAATTCATACCTTCATACTTTAGGTTCTGCTGTTGGATTTCGCCTGGATAGTCTTCTGAAACTTACTGAAACACGAGCACGTAACAACAAGCTGACGCTCATGCACTATCTGTGCAAGGTACAATATGAGTTATGTTTTGATGATTATCTCATGCTATATGAGTTCTATATACACTACACTTAATATGAGATCTAACAACAAAGTCAAAATGTTTACCATGGAACCAGAGTTCACTATGGTTTCAGATTTTTCTGTCTGTCCTTTTGATTTCATCCTCACCGCCTTTGTAGATTATCTCTTTTGTACCAATTTTGTGTTGAAGAAGTCTCTAAATCCCGGTTTCCCACTCCATGCGTTCCTTGAAACTATAGGTGCTTGCTGAAAAATTGCCTGAAGTCTTGGATTTTCAGAAAGACCTTGAAAATTTGGAGGCGGCAACAAAGGTACACTTCTCTTTCTCATTTTAGGAAAACTTTTTTTTCCTAGAATTACTTAACTATTAACATTGTTTGAACGAGGGTTTAGTACAAGAATTAGAGAGAAGACATTCAGCTTCTTCCTCCCCTCTAGTTTCATTATATAGAAGAATTAAAGTACACGTTTGGTAACTTGGCACAAGAATGGAAACACAATAAACTCTAATTATACTCTTGCCTAATTGACGTGATTTATTTCCTTAACACTCCCCCTCAAGCTGGAGCATATCCATCATATAAGCTCAGCTTGGAGCAAAGAAACTTCAACCTATTACCATTCAATGATTTTGTAAACATATCGGCAAGTTGGTCTCCTGTCTTCACGAATGGTGTACATATATCACCACTCACTATTTTGTCTCGGACAAAATGACAATCAATTTCGATATGTTTGGTCCTCTCATGAAAAACTGGATTGGATGCAATATGTAGAGCAGCTTGGTTATCACAAAACATTGGAATCGGAGTGGAAGGTGATAGATTGATTTCTTGAAGAAAGTGCTGCAACCATGTCAACTCACTAGTTGTATGAGCCATTGCCCTATATTCTGCTTCTGCACTTGACCTTGCTACTACAGTTTGTTTCTTACTTTTCCAAGAGACAAGGTTGCCACCAAGAAAAGTACAGAAACCAGTAGCGGATCGTCTATTTGACGGAGATCCTGCCCAATCTGCATTTGTAAACCCTTCTATTCTGATATGTCCATTCGGTTTATACAATAATCCAAGACCTGGAGCCTTTTTAAGGTATCGAATAATGCGAATCATAGCTTCCCAATGAGGAACCCGAGGAGCATCCAAGAACTGACTAATGATACTAACCGCATAGGAAATGTTTGGTCGTGTGATGGTAAGATAATTCAGTTTTCCAACCAAACGACGATATTTCCTGGTTCTCCAAACAATTCTCCTTCATCTTTCAAAAGTTTCACGTTAGGATCCATGGGAGTATCAACAGGACGAGCTCCAAGAAAACCCATCTCATCTAACAAATCAAGTACATATTTCCTTTGAGATAAATTGATACCAGCTCGTGACCTAGCGACTTCAATACCCAAGAAATATCGAAGCTTGCCTAGATCTTTGGTTTGAAAATGCTTTTGTAGAAATTGTTTCAACCGGGGCAATCCCATCAGCATCATCACCAGTGATGACAATATCATCTACATAAACTACAAGAACAACGTAACCTGCACCAGTTTGTAAATGAAATACTGAATGATCTGTCTGACACCTCTGAAGACCAAATTCTAAAACAACCTCAGAAAACTTCCCAAACCATGCCCTTGGTGATTGCTTTAACCCATATAAAGCCTTTTTCAATTTACAAATATAGTTCCGGTACTCCCCCTGAGCAACAAACCCAGGTGGTTGCTCCATATAAACCTCTTCGTGTAAGTCACCATGAAGGAAAGCATTTTTAATATCCAGTTGAAACAAAGGCCAACCAAGGTTAGCGGCGATGGAAATCAAAACTCGAATAGAAGAGATCTTAGCAACTGGAGAGAATGTTTCATCATAATCAACGCCATATGTTTGTGTGTAACCTTTAGCAACCAATCGGGCTTTCAATCGATCAACAGTCCCATCAGGATTGAACTTCGGAACAAAGACCCATCTATTACCAACAGGATGTATTCCAGCCGGTGAAGGAACGAGTTCCCAAGTCTTATTCTCATGCAAGGCTGCCATTTCTAATTCCATAGCCTTTCGCCACTCAGGATCAGATAAAGCCTCTGTCACTGTCTTAGGTACAAAAACACTAGAAAGTTGGGATGTGAAATAAGAAAAAAAGGTGACATTTTATCAAAAGTAACATAGTGGCTGATAGGATGTTTAGTTACACAAGTACGTTAACCTTTACGGAGAGCAATAGGCAATGATTCAGGATCAGAACAGATGACGGAAGCAGGATCTGTAGACGGCAAGGTGACGGATGGGGCCATAGATGTTGGTGGCTTAGGTCGTCAAGTATAAACCTGTAAAGGAGGTGGTGGTTCCTTAGGAGAGGAGGACAACTCTGGTGCAGCAGACGAAGTCGAGTCTAGGTCTGGAGAAATACCAACAGGTAGATATGGTATGGGTAAGCTAGCAGGGACACTAGTGGATTCTGATGATATACTATGATTCGAGAAATAGGGTGTGGACTCGTCTAAAGTGACATCTGCACTCACAAAATAACGTTGTAGAGAAGGATTGTAGCATCGATATCCCTTTTGTGTTTGAGAGTAACCAAGGAAAATACATTTCATAGAGCGAGAGTCGAGTTTGTCACGACCGGGACCGAAATGATGAACATAACAAACACACCCAAAGACTTTGAGAGGCAACGAATGCGGTGGAGAGGAGAAAGACAAAAGAGAGAAGGGAGATGCACTATCCAAAACGGAGGATGGCATGCGATTAATGAGATAGCATGCAGTAAGGACAGCATCACTCCAAAATCGTTTAGGGACATGCATACGACAAAGAAGAGCACGAGTAACGTCTAACAAATGACTTTTTTGCGTTTTGCAACTCCATTTTGTTGTGGAGTATATGCGCAAGATGTTTGATGAATAATGCATTTGGAAGAGAGATATGATGTAAATGAAGCAAACATATACTCTTTGGCATTATCAGAACGCAAAATACGGATTTTCTGATTAAATTGAGTTTTGATCAAAGTACGAAAGATTTGAAAGATAGAAAGTAACTCAGAACGATGTTTCATTAAGAACAACCAAGTCATACGAGAATAATCATCCACGAAAGTGATAAAATATTGAAATTTATTAGATGAAATATTGATTGGTCCCCATATATCAGAATGAACTATGTCAAATAAACTAGAAACACGACTAACTGTTCTTGAAGGAAAAGACACACGATGATGTTTGCTAAGTTGACAAGCTTCACATTCAAGAGATGACACATTACGAAGACTCACAACTTGACGTTTTAAAGTGGAAAGAGAAGGGTAACCAAGACGACAATGCCACTGCATGGGCGAAACAGAGGACTGGAGAGCCCGAGGAGAAAGATCCAGGTAATACAATCCACCAACTTCATGCCCCATACCAATCATCCTCTTCGTCTTGAGATCCTGAAAAACACATAAAGAAGGATAAAAGGTTACAGAACATTGAAGAGTTGTGGTAATTTTACTAATAGACAATAAACTAAAGGGAAAGCCAGGAACGTGAAGGACAGCTGACAGATCAATATTAGGACTAAGATGGGCATCGCCCGAGCCTGCAACACTAGTTCGGGAACCGTTAGCAAGAGTGACACATTTGGGAGAAATAACAGGATGATAATCAAGAAGAGAAGTAGACGAACCAGTCATGTGTTCAGTTGCTCCAGAATCTATAATCCATGGAGTGGGAGAGGATGACAATAGGCAGTGAGAAGATGCATTACCTGACTGAGTAAGAGTAGCCATAGAATTGGAAGCGGCATGTTTATGAGCTAAGAACTCAGCATACTCATCTCGTGGTACAGATAAAAAATCGGATTCGGATGTTGAACTAGAGTTAGCCATTGGTCCAGATACAGTATTATGAGCTTCATTAGAAAAAACCTGATTGGTAGATCCAGATGGTTTGCCATGTGCATCCCAACAATAATCAACGGAGTGACCTACACGACCACAATGAGTACATTTTCGAGGTTCACGATTTCCCGAACGACCATTTCCTCTAGTGTCTCGTCCACCCCTAGGGATAAAACCATGTCCACCTCGACCACTACGTCCACCCCTAAATGAACCACTTCGAGCAATAAAAGCAGAATGATCTCCATGGAGTGTCCTATCTGATAAGGTAGAGCGCTGAATACGAGAAAATGTCTCTGCAAGACTGGGGAGCTCTTTTCCACCTAATATGTGTGCCCGAACTGCTTCAAACTCTGGAGGAAGACCAATAAGGAATTTAACAAGATCAATGTCTTCACGCTGTTTCTCTATAACCTTCAAATCAAGAGAGAGAGGTTGATGTACATTTTTCTCTTGGCACACACCTAAAAGTTTATTATAATATTCAACAAGGCTGAAGGATCCTTTCTTAAGCTCGAAGTATTGCTTACACGTTTCATATATCCGAGTAACATTTCCAGTTTCAGAATGTATGTGTTGGCGATGCCCCCAAATTTGTTTAGCCGTAGTCATATAGAGGGATGAAGAACCGATATGAGGCTCGATATTACTGATCATAAGTCCAATTATGGCATTATCCTCTTGATCACTTCGATCGTTGATAGAATAATCACTTTCGTAAGATTTGTTAGATGGCCTGTCTAAAATCAAGTGATCAAATAAACCTTTACCTCGTAAGAAGACCTCGACGCACCTAGCCCGATAAGTGTAATTTCTTTCATTCAATTTTTCAGGTGCCATGGGTCCAGTCAGATTAAATATTTCCATCTTGAATGACATAATAAGGCTCACACAATCAAGCCAAATAAATAAAAAAAAAGTCCAGCACATAAAAGGGCCCAACTGACGAATGAAGGCCCAAATGACAGCCCAAAATATTAAAAATCTGATTATGGCCCAAACCAGGCACCACAACAAATTTCAGCCCAAACAAATCACCACTCCACCCACCAACTCGAAACGATACAGGCCCTCAACCTTCAACAGCTACTACCGGCGACACAGAAGACCACCGGTGGCGCAGACACACAGAGGGCAAAAATTAACGACACAGAAGACCCAATGACGGCAGCACAAACACTGATGAACCACCACAGAGAACACACGACCCACGACAACGCCAAGATCTGTCACAAGCCATGGCTGCCACGACAACCACCGTTCGCTGACACACACGACGTAGCGGTCATCAACATACTCAGGTGCGTTTTCTTCTACTCAACCATGGAGTTCGAGACTACCACATGGGAATTTCAGAGGAGGAAAAACAGAAGGAAAAAAGAAAAAGAGGAACGAACGGTTTCTGGGGAAAAAAAAAAATACTAAACCCTAAAAAAATTGCTCTGATACCATGTTTGAACGAGGGTTTAGTACAAGAATTAGAGAGAAGACATTCAGCTTCTTCCTCCCCTCTAGTTTCATTATATAGAAGAATTAAAGTAAACGTTTGGTAACTTGGCACAAGAATAGTTTCATTATATAGAAGAATTAGAGTACACGTTTGATAACTTGGCACAAGAATGGAAACTCAATAAACTCTAATTATACCCTTGCCTAATTGACGTGATTTACTTCCTTAACAAACATGATCAGTAATTTTGCAATGCAGATTCAATTGAAGTATTTGGCGGAGGAAATGCAAGCCTTTAGCAAAGGACTGGAAAAAGTTTTGCAGGAACTGGCTGCCTCTCAAAATGATGGTCCTGTCTCAGAAAACTTCTGCAAGGTATCTTCCCAATGTTACTCATCTTCTATGAATGATGCAATTTCTTTCTTATCAATGTTGATTATTTATTTGACTAAGCTCTTTACATGGGCCATTTCTACCAGGTAAGGGATACATCTACTCAAATTATTTGTATCACTTCTATGCTAAAGGAGAAAAATATATTGAACTCACAACTAGTTGCGGCCTCTTACATTAGTTCACACTTTTTTTTGTCCTTATATTTCATCCATGACTAGAAATATGTGATTCCATTATTCCTTTTGCTACCATATCGCATACAAATATTAATGTCAAGTTTTTAAAGCAAGGTAAGTTATTTCAGAAGTATACCTCTCTCTCACTATCCATATTTACACGTTTCTTCTTTATGCACCTCAGTCTTACTAGCTAACCATTTTCTGTTGAAAATGCTAGATGCTAAAAGACTTTCTTGGTTATGCTGAAAGTGAAGTGAGATCTCTGGCTTCACTATATTCTGGAGTGGTATTTCTGTGGCCTATGAATTTGTATGCCTTCCCTCTTTGCATGTTCATATATAGAAGCTAATTCAAGAAATTTTTGGAGTTTCTAGGGGAGGAATGCAGATGCACTGGCTCTATATTTTGGGGAAGATCCAGCTCGTTGCCCGTTTGAGCAAGGTATTGCTGTTAAAAGTTTTGATGACAGATCTTGTGTTTTATCACGCTATGATGTAATTGTTGTATACATTTGTTTCAATCTGGTTCACATGGAGGCATCCGAAGGTGTTTAATTTCCCGTCATACTGACGTAGGGTGCTATGGAACAATTCTAGGATAGGGGAAAGGGAAGAAAAGAAGAGAAGAGAAAGGGGTGCAAAGAAGAGAAGAATTCAGGGCAAGATAAAATCTGTTTATTTCATATATCAAAGTTGTCTCAATTACATCGCTTAAGCCCCCCTTTATATAGGGGTTTAAACTAGTCCTAATTGAAGTAGCAAAATACTATAAAATCAATCCCTAATTATGTTTCCTAAATTAAACATCAAAATTGGAAACTAAATATAATAATGTATCTTCTAATATTCCATCACACCCTTTAAAATATTTTATTTGCTTCTTTTCTTCTTGTTAGAGCTTTGTTTCTCGTATCTTAAGTAAGCTTGGGAGTGCTTAAATTAAAACTTCAGTAACTATAAGTTGTCGGTCCCATGAAATGTGTGGATAACAAGTGGGTAGTAGTTGTGGGTTCTTTGAATATATGAATAAAAAGTAAGTTTGACCCTCTTAAATTTTAATTTAAGCTTTGCCAAACATGCACTTGGTGTTGAACAGTAAATTTGAATAAATAAATGTGTGCAACTTTTTCTCTCAACAATCCTATTCCTCTCCAAATAGTAAAACAATAGACGTGCGCAGCTTTTTCTCGCTGCTGTCGTATCCCTCTCCAAATATTTTATCTTACCAAATCTTTGGCAAATATCTTCTTGTGAAAATTGCAAGACTCAAGGTACATATCCTCAGGTTGTATTATACTTGTTACTTACGGCTGTTATCCCTATCTATGATTATGGATGAAATTGTTCAACTATAACAAAGTATAAACCTCGTACTTATGAATGCTCTTGGAATATATTATTCAGAGTCAAGTTCAAGAATTATTGTTATTGTTCTAGTCTCTTTCGGCCACTTATGTTTGAAACAAAATAACCCGAGGTACCTCTAAGAGATGTTAATTTTTCCCTTAGCCACCCAGTTTTGTCGTGAAGTGTCTCCACGGACGAGTAATGTATAATTCCCTTTTGTTCCAATTACCTTGTCAGTTCTTGATTGAATTAGTCTTTACCATAATCAGTCCTGAATGTTTAAATTTTCCTAAACTGAGGGCTAACTGGTTTTTGAAATATACAAAAATAGACGAGTATCTCATATTTGAATTTCATTAGGTAAACGCAAGTTGTTTGGGAAGATTCATCTATGAAGGTATTGACCATTGAGTTTGTGAAATAATAGTGATACGAGAGGGGCTCTGAACATTGGAGTGCATCAAACTAGATGGATAAAAATTTTGGTTCTTTTTGGGGGAAAACTCAGGGGTTGATGCTTAGAAAGAGTAAATGGCTAACAATGGAACCTAATACATTATTGTTAATGAACAAATAAATTACTTTTTCATCAAGGAGAAAGATGGATGGCATGTTATGGATGGATGGTGTTGGTGCCCATCAAAGATTGATTAGTATTATACCTTCGATTATAATTCTTATGGGTCCTTTGACTTCTCGTATATAAGAGTAATCAATCCAATAATACTTCATCGGATGCTTGTACGAGACAGAAACCACACAATACTCTTTGCATGGATTCTTATGCATTTATCTCCTGCTTAATGAGAAGGGGCAGCCCGAGCTTTCGCGAATGATTCTTTAAGTTCACTATGGGGTTGTTTGTTGTTCAATGATTTTTCTGTTAAATTTCTTCTCCCTCTGATGTTTGTTTCACACAATTGATATTTCGTTTTCTTTGAAATGTTCCTGCAGTTGTATCAACTTTGCTGAATTTCGTGAGGATGTTTCTACGGGCTCATGAGGAAAACTGCAAGCAACTTGAACTTGAAAAGAAAAAAGCCCTCAAAGAATCAGAGAATGAGAAGGCAAAATTGAGTTCTTCGTCCACAAAAGAGTCTCAAAACAAGAATAATGAGACAAGCGCGGCCAAGATATCTGAACACTTGATTCAAACAAAGTAGTGAAATGAAAAGTTCTTTCTCCACACTTGATTCAATCAAACAGATAGCCGTTTCCTTATATTCAATCCTTCCTGAGATGTCATTCAGAACACATGTTAGCTGGATTTGTTCATCAGAATGATTAACGTTGTTTTATTTGGCTTCAAGAAATGTCATGTGAAAGGATTTAAATGTTCTACGTAAAATTACAGCAACAGGGCAACAATTTCCAAATGGTATGCTGTCTTAACCTCCTCTCTGTAGTTTCTGACTCTTATGTTGTACAGAACTGCGATTATAAATTCATAAATGACAAAATGTACTATGATTTTACCTGTTTGTTTGATGGCAGAGGTTAGAAGCAAGAATTCTTGAGTTACTTTGGAACATTATATTTTTTTGAAAATATTGAAGAGGTCTCAACTAGATTTTATTTACTAATGTTGTTCTGCAAATTTTGTAGTTTTTAGCCTTTAGGAATGTAAAGTTCTGCTGTAATTGCACAAATAGACAACAGCAATAATGTATTTATACGAAATTGTTAGTTTTCTTTTTCTTCCAATTTATGGTTTTCTTCATTTGTTCAATTTTCATTGAAAATGTTTCATAGTGTTTGATTAAGCTTAAAAGGTTTACTTATGGTTTTAGTGTATTTCTTGATTAAAGTTGGAAATAAGTTACTTTTTACACGAACTTTTAACGTTGCAGAGTAAAAATAAGCAGCATTTTTAAGAAAAAAGTAACTCATTCAAACATGTTCAAAAAAATGCTTGCAAGTTAGTCGAACGTGGAGGTGATGAATTTTTATAACGAGAGACCCAACATATGAGGAGCTTTTATAAATATTTGGTAGTAAGATTTGAGCACAACGTTGATCCATTTTGTTGTCACGATCAATTTTCTCACTCAAAAGTTCTAAGCTAATTGAGGGAATAGATTATTTATATACTGTCTTCAACAAGTGGAACAAAGCCTAACAGCAATACCGATTCACAAACAACATCTACTACTCTATACGTTTAAAATTGCAGATTCTACCGTTTTTGGCTAAATTTAACATTCTGAAATGAACCCAGATACCAATAAAGATGGAAATCCTTGAAATTTTCTTGCATCAATTTTCTTCATTTTCACGATCTAATATTCTCCCTGTAATTGCTGCTGCAAGTGCTTCTGTGAAACTGGGATTTCTTGTTAAAGTAGATGCCATTTGTTCAACCATGGATATGGAGACACTACTGGAGGATGAAATTTCATCTACACCCTTTGACAATTCTATTGAAAGTTCATCTTCAGAAGGCTTCTTGTGGTTGTGTTTGCCTTCATAAGTTGCTACTAAAAGTGATGGATCATTAACACTTCTTTGCACCTACGAGTATAAATCAATTATTTCCTCGAATAAGTCAGTATTCTTGTGGAAGACATAATTTGCATAAATAAGTATGTGTGTCTCTAATAGCTCAAGCTTTTAGATAAAATTGTTCTAGATGGCGATGAAACAGATACGCATCCTGAATTCAAGCGTCGCACCGTACATATATGGAAAGTGTGCATGTACTGACCGTAGGATGAAAAAATAAATATGGCTGCACTTGAAAGGGTTTATTGACATGACAGAAATGTAAGTTTGTCCGAGTTTTGAAAAAAAAAAAATGATGCTGTGTATGTGTTAAACTATGTGCACAACTCACTACCCAAGCGCTAGGAGCAATAAACTGATGGAATGTTTAGTAAAATAGATTATATCTGGGTAGGGATGACAAAAAAACCCGACAAATCCGATACCCGCTGGGCTTCATCAGGTAACAAGACGGGAAATTTTGCCCCGGAACGGGTTCGGGGCAAGAATGGATAATGGGGGCCCCGACCCGTTAATTTTTTTTTTTTTTAAGAATTCAATACTTAAAATGAAAAATTTTACAAAATTTCATTAGTTCTAATAGAAAATAGCAACTAAAATTATTTGTCTAAATCTAATGAATATGGATAATAAAAATAAGTTATCAAAAAATAAACAAAAATTTAAACGGGTAGTAAAAGGGGCAAAGCCCCCACCCCCCCCCCAAATAGAAATGAGTAGATAAAAATGGTTTAACCAGTAGTGTTTAAAAGAAATTTCAAACATAGGCATAGATTCAACTGCACTAATGTATTAAAGAAATGGACTAAAATCTTGTCCTGTCGTCCAATCTAATACTATGTGCGAACACGTTGAAATTTATAATTTAAATTCCATTAAATGAACTCACTTTCTTCTTGACTGGGCAAGTTGGGGCAAAAGAGCATTTATAGTAGGCTCTAGGAGATGGATTGTCTCTAGTCACCTTTTGTCCATATTTTCTCCATCGATATCCATCCTTTACTACCTGTAGTCAAAACTGCGTTAGGCCTTTATGGTTTGTTCGGTAAGACAGACTGCACAATATTTTCACCAAATCATCTATTTTCCTCCTCAAGAATTCACTGTCAGACGAGGCAATTCAACGAATTTTGATAAAGTCGTACGATTTGAGCTCAATAATTAACTTACTAGGCTCATATCAGATGGATCAATGCGTACATGAACCCTTGAAACATTTGACACAATTTCATTTGGTGTTCCAGTTGACCTTTCATCACAGCAGCTACAAGTGATTACATTTTTTCCAACAAAATTGTCAAAATTTTCTGTATAATGAGCCTTTCTCTTTCTTGATTTCAAGAGTTCATCTCCAGAGTAATTTTGCATCAAATTGTTGTAATTTTCACGCACAATAGTGATTAATTCTGTCAGCTTCTTATTCTCAGATTTCATCAGATTTAACTGCTGAATCAAGAATCGATAAGACTGCATAAATAATTACAAGCGTCACGACGGTGCTTTTTTCAAGCTAGAAGAAAGAAAAAATGAAGATGACGAAGAAGACGACGTAGGAGGAGAGGATTTAGATGAATTGCAAAGGTGAAATATGCAAGAAAAGAAGAAGAAATAAATTTATATTTGAATTTGTTACAAGGTAGGGCCTGTTCTCTTTACCATTTTCAAGCCGTTTTCTGTTTTCGATTTTTCAGAACAGCGAAAACGCATTTTTGAAAATAAGTTAAAAATTTAAAAAGAAAATTCAAAACGACAAATTTAAGAACAGCGAAAACGCATTTTTGAAAATAAGTTAAAAATTGAAAAAGAAAATTCAAAACGACAAATCTGTCGTTTTTCGGTGTTTTCAGTTATAATCAAGCTAAAATTTTCAAAAAGCGTTTTGGGTGTTTTCAAAACAATTTTTCAAAATGCCAAAAAGAACACATTTTCAACAATTTCAAAATGGACACTAAAAACACAAAATCCAAAATGAATTCAAAACTAAAAACACAAAACTGAACACCCCCTAAAGTACAATACAAGGCTGGAAGAAGCAATATTGAACTTTGCTAGCTTGTACTCACCTCGTCTGTCATTGATGATTTGCTTTCACCAACAAATTCCTTTTCAAACTCCTCATTCTGATAGAACAAAAATATGTATAAGAAATCAAATAAGGGTATATCCCATACGCAACATAAGTAGAATTATGGAAATTTGAGTTTCTTTTTCTTCCTTAAGTAGACCCACGTACCGGAATTTCGCTGCAGTTATTCCTGGGATTGGTGTTGAGGTCAATATCAAGATTTGTTTCCATTGAAATGTTGAAGTATTCTGTGTTGGGGTTTTCTGGCCTTCACTTAGGTTGATCAAATGTATGATTGGAAGTATCAAGTATGCATCATGGCTTAATATTTATAGAGAGTGGGGTGGGGGTCGGGTGGTTTAAAAATCTTGAAGTCAAGTCTCCTGTTCTGTTTTATATGTAATGGAAAGTGTGAGGAAATTCAGGTTCTTGGAGAAAAACCTCAATTTGTACCATCACGTGTCCATGTTCAGGGTAACATTGGATTGGTCAAGAAATTCTTACTTGCGTACCAAACAATGACGACTTGAATATTTTCCAAGATAAATATTATTTTTCTAACGTGTTCGATTTTTTAAAATTATCTTGTTGAATCATAGAAGATCATCTTTTGACTTGTCATGGAAGTGAAATAACTCTTTTATTAGAAAGTGTGTATGTATTAGGGTGTGTTCGGTAGAAATTAAAATCGGATTAAAATTGAAAAACTAACCGTAATGTCGACTTTTATTAGACGAGTATGACCCAATAACGACCATATTTTCAATTTTAATGGGATTTTAATCTTTACCAAACGATCACTAAATATTTAGCCTCTATTTGCTATGACTTAATATTTTGTTAAAAATTTAAGTCAAAGTCAAAAATTAATTGTAACCATACATTTCTTGAAATTCACTAGTAAAACTTACACTTAGAGAAAGATGAATTTTCTCGAAGTAGTGAGAGGAAATGAAATTAGTCGTAAGATTTTTCTCAAAAAGTGAGATTATTTTTATTAAATCGTTACTCCATAGTTTAGTATTTCCTTTTCTTTTCTATTTAAAGATAGAACATTTTACTTTTCTTCGTTTTTAGCGTTCTGTTCACACTTCTAGCAAATACTACAATTTTCAATAACGAAACAATGGTTAGAGAAGCACAAAATAAATATGAAGATAGGGTTCATATCAACCAAACTTGGTCTAGTAGAGTCAAGTTGGTCGAGTAAAGAGTTCAATCGATTGAATTTTAGGGTCAAGTTGATAAAATATAGGAGTTGGGTCGATTTGGTCGTGCGAGACTATTATTTAAGATAATATAATGTATAAACTCTATAAATTAATAACCTTCAATATATAATAATTTTTTTCAATCCCAAATTCGATTAATCGATAGAATTGACCCTCTACATGTTAATAAAACTTTTTGATACCGACCTTATTTATATAAAGGTTATATTGTTCTTCAATCAGGTAATTGTACTTCAATTTTATTCAATCAAATAACTATATTTTAAGTTGATTTCAATCGAGTTATTCCACTTAAATTTAATTTCAATCTGCAGGTAACAATATTTTAATTTGATTTCAATCGAGCTAACTTTGTCCAAATTAGGACTTATATTGAATGAAATCAATTCCCAAACCCTATTTCTTGGCTTTACCAAGTATTGATTTTTGTTTGTATATTTTGCTTAACTTTAATTTCTAAAATTGACATGGCCCTCACCAGGTCTTCTATTGTGGATGTGTTGTACTTCCATGCTTTTTATCTGATATAACCACGAAAGAAGTTGGAAGAGAAAAGTCTTCAGACTTCAATCGTCATAGAAAGTAGAGTTGAATTCCACTTCCCATGGCTTTTGTTTTGTTTTCTAGGATGGAAAATATCAAATTAAAGTGACAGAGATATTTTCCCACCTTATTTCAATAAACTCATTTTTAATATCTTCTTTTTTTTTTAAACATATATTGATTAACGAAATGGAGATCAGAAATCATAAACCCGCCACGAACCTCGTCCCATTTATATTATAAAAAATATATTCCCACACCATATCATGCAAGCTTGCCCCCATTTTTATTGTAAAAATAAAAATATATTGATTAAAAAAATAAAAAGGGATGGTGAGGATCCATCGCGTCCCGTTCCGCCCCGTCCCGTCCCTTTTCGTTCTCGCCTCGCGTACCAAGATTTGGATAGTGATGGTTAGGGATGACAAAAAAAAGAAAAAAACTCGACAAACCGGATACCCGGAGGTCACACCCCGAACGGGGAGGGGATTACCCTCTTAATCGGATATTTGGGGCGGGAACGGGACAGATACGGGTGACGCCCGTTATAAAATTTACCTTCTAAATACGAAATTTCATTAGTTCTAATAGAAAATGAAAGCTGAAATTATCTTAAAAAATATGACAAATAATAAAAGCCTTAGTTTACCAAATATATTTGAATAATTTAACTTTTAAAAATAAATTAAAAAATATATTATCATCTCATTCTAACGAATGTGCAATAAAATGAATTATCAAAAATTTAAACAAAAAAATTAAATGGGATAATAAGCGGGGTATGGGCCCCCGTGCCCCGCTTTAACGGGAATCGGGGCACGGGGAGATGCTCTAATCCCAATTCGTTCTATTGTCATCTCTAGCGATGACGGGGAAATTCTTCAATGGTAATGCCATCCTCACACGTTGTCATATCTAATTTTATTTTAATTATCAAATATTTTAACTCTAATCTTTTGCTGAAATTTATGAAAATTACAGATTGGGTCCACCACACCGTCGGGAAAAGCATATTATTCAATCTTTCATAAATCTATGGGGTTAGTTATATTGGAAGTCAATCATTGACTTTGAAAAGTTAGTTTAGACGTAAGTAACATTACGTCATTAAAATGAGACTTCATAGATTACATCATCAACGTGTTATGAGCTTTCATACGGATGGCAATGGTCCCAGTTATACGCCAAGTCAGCTCACGCCAAAATTGACTCGTTTACCCTCCTAGACAACTCGTTGGACGAGTCGAATCTTAAATTTTCCTCGCGAACATATGATTGACTTGCTGGGCAGGCTCATGGACTCACCTAGCGAAATCGATCAATGAGCGAAATGGACGCACGAACAATGTTGCAGCATATTCAAGAAGAAGAGAAACGGGTGTTAGAAAATTGCAGCAGCAATGAGCATGTGTCACTGGCGGTCCATGTAGGTCCAACCCAACGGTTTCAAAAAAAAAGATTCGATTTCATTCGATGTTTACATATTTACAATTTTCTTCAACTCTTAGCCTTCATTCATTAAATAAATATATTTTTTGAACTTGTGGAAAATATAAATAGACAATATAGTATTTTTTTTTTTATTCCTTGAAATTTTAAATGAATTGTTCAACTTTTATTTAATATCAATCAAATATAACCATTAACTTGTACACATCTCTTCCATTTCTTTAATAGTAATAACTCTATAATTAATGCGAAGTGACTCGTAAAGAAATAGGAAAAAGTGAGAGAGTTACTTGGCGATTACTTGGAGTCAACTTTAACGATTAAGTCAATAAAAACACAGAAAATGATAAAGAATCTAGAGTTTTTGAATTGTGTCGTTTTGTATGATAAGTCAAACATTGCTTTCGTTAATTAATGGATGTTCGTTGTTATTAATCCCATTTATGACATCATCTCGATCGAAAACTTATAGTAACGACTTAAATCATTTATTAGTCAATGGAAGTAAATCATTTATTTATAAGTAGATTGATGTCGGTTTACATTTTTTTCCTTACAAATTTTGTTACAAACAATAAGTCAGCATTAGAAAAAATAAAAAATAAATCTGTCATTTTCTTCCTACTTGGAAATTGACGTAAATGATCCTTTGGATAAACTCTGTTCAAAAGGGCCATCGAATGCAATTTCATTTTATTGTAATGGAAAATGTGACAAACATGAAATAAAATAAGTTGAATTTTTTTTTTTAACAAAAAGAAGAATTAAAAAAAGGTAGCTATATTCACGTCACATTTTTTTTTTTTTTAAATACACCAAATTTTAATTATATTAAATGTCATTAACCTTTATTCATTACAACACTTACGCCATGTTTGAAAGGTGAGATTTTCCATGGAAAATGTCACTTTCCAAGTTTTTGGATGTTTGAAATGTCAAATTTTCCATGGAATAATTTTTCCTCACTCAACCCTCACGCGCCCTTGTTCCCACTTTTTAAAGAAAATCTTTTCTTGTTGTTTTGGTGGGAATTGTGTTTTCCAGGTTTTTTTTTTTTCCTTTTGGCAATTGAAAAAAATTCTAGACACAATAGTAAAAAAAAAAAAAAAAAATTTATTTAATGGAAAATTTAAATTTAAAAAA